ATATATATATATATATGTGTGTGTGTGTGTGTGTGTGTGTGTGTGTGAGAGGTAATAATATCGTAATTAAGGATAAGAATCGGTGACCTCATAAATTTCAATATTGCAACGTTTCAAATTAATATAGTAGACTATCATCTCTAATTAGGTGATTATCATCTCAATATTGCAACGTCCAACCTATGATATTTTGTCTATTAGGTGTGTAATTCGGCCGAGTAGGCTCGGGTTGGGCCGAAAAATTTGACCGAATTACACACTGCAGGTTAAGAAAATTTTAAGCCGCAACACCTTCTTAATCCTACAAACTCGTAACCTTTCGGATGACCTCAGATAGGCTTGGGTTAGTCAGCTTAGGCTGGACGTTGGGCATCTGTCCAGAGATTGCTGAAGCAATTTTCTCAATTTTAGGCAAACACGTTACAATCCTATGGAGCAAGATCAGGTCTTAATCAAATTGAAAACAAAATTAGGCTCGAAAAATAGCAAAAACAAAGAAAAGGTTATTCCCATATTCTTACCAATGTCGGTTGTTCGACCTGATCTTCATTCTGGTTATGGTGAAGCACAAACAAGAACAGTTATGCAGTGGAGAATAGCCCAAGAAGCACCCAGATCCAATTCAGAAACCACGTCCGAACCGGGCGCCGAAAATCGGCCCCCCGCCGCCGCATCTTTTTCGGCGACTCTCTCCCCAGACAGTGAGGCTAGCAGAGAAAGAGACCGAGAAGTGAGGGAGACTGAGAGAGAGAGAGAAGCTACAGACTTGGAGTCTGGAGATGCGTAACAGCACGCTTAGAGAGAGGTGAGAGTGAGATATCAGACTGAGTTAGGGCATTAGGATTTTTTTCCCACTGATCTCATCGGCCGGGTTGGGGAGTATAAGAATAAGAAGAAGAAGGGTGGAGGAACGGCGGAGGAAGTGAGAAGAAGAAGAAAAGACAATGAAGGAAAGAAACGAAGTGAGACTCAGAGACTTCAGAGTTGAGAGAGGTAGAGAGGCAGGGCGGCGCTGAGAGTTTTTCGAGTCTAATTTTGGAGTTGAGGTAGGTGAGGTGTAGAGTTTTTTTTAACACTCAATATGTTTTTCGGCCGGGTAGGGTTACACGTAAAAGAAGTTTGACCCGCGACCCTACCCGCCCATTGCGGATTGGGCCAATTTTAACTAAAAAAAAAACCCCATATTTTTGGGTAAAGTAGGATTGGGTAAACTGGGTTAATCGTGTTCGGGTGATTCCTTACACCCCTGCTGTCTATATATAATGTCTAGATTCATATGCAAAAGTGTGAAGCGCATCATCAAATAGTATAAACTGCAAAAGTTTATTCATTCAATTTATCAAACAAAAAAAGTTTATTCTTTTCCGCGTGTAATTTTTTTTTTCCAACAAAAAGTGCGTCAAATTGATCATGAAAAGGGATGAGCTGGACTTTCCATAATCAATGAGGAAAACCCGGTTGTTTTTTAGCTGTAATTTTCTTTTTTTGCCTAGCCATTTAGTGCAAAAGATTCCGCCAACTAGTAGTCTCTCATTCGGACTCTCTTCTCAGTAAACAAAAGCAACAAAAAAATCCAAACCTGCCGCAATACGTAACAGAATCCCTTATTAATATCTCTGCTCTCTCTTCTCATTCTTCAACGTACTACAATTACTGTGGCTACATATACATACTTACAAACAAAGCACCGCCGCCCCATAAAACGACACTCCACGCTTCTCAATGGCGTCGTCGACGTTCGAGCTTGAGTCCGGCGCCGTCGACGAAAACGACGACGTTTCGCCGATCGAAGAGGTCCGCCTAACAGTCTCGAACGACGACGACCCGAGCCTTCCGGTGTGGACGTTCCGAATGTGGTCGTTGGGGCTCGTCTCCTGCGTCCTCCTCTCCTTCCTCAACACCTTCTTCATGTACCGCACCGAGCCCCTCGTCATCTCCATGATCTCCGTACAGGTGGCCACCCTCCCCATCGGACGGTTCATGGAGCGGGTCCTCCCCACGACGCCGTTTCGCCTCCCCGGCCTCGGCAAGGTGTCGCTCAACCCCGGGCCGTTCAACACGAAGGAACACGTGCTTATTTCAATTTTTGCCAACGCCGGCGCGGCGTTTGGCGGCGGTGCCGCCTACGCCATTAGTATTGTGGATATCATAAAGGCGTTTTATCTGAGGAATATCTCGTTTTGGGCTAGTTGGGTTCTTGTCATTACCACTCAGGTAATCAGATTCTGTAAATTTTGTATATATATAGATATATATATATATATTAATGTAATTTCGACCATATTTAACAAAGAACCATATTATGTTGTACTATTATTTGGTTTTTTTTGTTCAATTTTTTTTTATTGATTATTTGTCATTTTATGGATGATTATAAGCAGGTATTGGGGTATGGATGGGCTGGGATTCTGAGGAAGTACGTGGTGGATCCGGCGCAGATGTGGTGGCCTAGTAGTCTGGTTCAAGTCTCTTTGTTCAGGTCAGCTCTTTGTAATTTCTTGATTTCCTAGCCAAACGACAGTATTTTGGGGACAATGTCGTTTTGCTTGTGCCTATCACGCTGTTTTTTTGGCTATTTCAGTATTCGAGTGTATTGACTAGAGCATACATTCTCTGTTTTCTTTTTTCTTTTTTATTCTTTGTTTATTCTACAGTTTTGTGACTTTTCAGAGTTCCTAAGTACACTCTCAAAGACGGTTATAAAATATGCAACTTTTAGATTATATAATTTAGAAAGTGACCACTTTATAACATTTTCTTTAGTCTCCCAAAACAATATTCTTGGTGAATGCTTGTTGATTTTCTATTCAAAACGTTCATACTGAAACAAGGCAAAACTGGAGACTGTTACTCTAGGGGACTTTCGAGAAAAAATTCCTGTTGAAACTAACAAATTTGAACCTTTAATATCACATATCCATGTCATGGCTGCAAAAGAAAAGAAAGAAAAGTGTATCTCTCATTTTTTATTTGTAGACAGAAAAAAAGAGTCCCATAATTCATTCTATAAATGAGTTTTTTTTTTTAATCATTTTGTGCAGGGCGCTGCATGAGAAAGACAATGACCGCATGTCACGAGGGAAATTCTTCTTAATAGCACTAGTTTGCAGCTTCTCGTGGTATGTTGTCCCAGGTTACCTTTTCCCAACTCTGTCGACCATTTCATGGGTTTGCTGGTTATACCCAAAATCAGTCACAGCACAACAGATCGGATCAGGCATGAGAGGGCTCGGGATAGGTTCCCTTTCGCTCGACTGGTCCGTCATTGCATCCTACCTCGGCAGCCCTCTCATCAGCCCCTTCTTTGCAATCGTCAACGTCGCCTTCGGCTACATCATAACCATGTTCATTATGCTCCCCATTGCCTATTGGGGTGTCAACCTTTATAATGCCAAGAACTTCCCCATCTTTTCCTCTCACTTGTTTGATGCTCATGGACAGATATATAATGTCTCAGCTATTGTTAATAATCAATTTGAGATTGATCAAGAGGCGTATCAGAGGCAAGGACGAATTAATCTCAGTGTCTTTTTTTCTCTCTCGTATGGAATTGGTTTTGCAGCCATTGTGTCAACTCTCACACATGTTGCCCTTTTCAATGGAAGGTACATACAAATTAAGTAATTAATTTCGTCTCAAGTTTTTGGATTTTAGCTTCTTGAGTTTAGAGCAATGCTCATTCTTGTCACTATTGATGATGACCAAATGTTTTTACCTTATTACACGTTTATATATTAAATATAGCACTCATATGTTGTAAGTTGTAACACAAGGATTATAGTCTTGCATATCAATTAAAAACAATATTTAGAGGTTTTAGTAGTGTTCAACAACACATATTAATAGAATGTGCTACAACATCGGTCTCATAGATAGAGCTTGTCTTCTATTAAATGTGGTGTTGGTCACCACTGCTGCCTCTAAGTATTTTTCATTCTAGTTAGCGATTATTATCATAATGATAATCGTCATTCTATCACAATTTAATTGCTTTCTAATACATGGATATTGCTATCAAATAGAGACTCAGCAAATGATTATATAAGATCTATTTAATTCTGCACGACATACTTTTATTGTTTGTTGTTTGAACACTTAACAGGGAGATTTACACACAATTCCGGGCTTCTTACAATACAAAGGAAGATATACACACGAGGCTGATGAAGAAGTACAGAGACATTCCCAGCTGGTGGTTCCATTCGATGCTTGTGGTATCAATCATACTATCACTTGCCTTGTGCATCTTCAAGAAAGATGAGATTCAAATGCCATGGTGGGGACTCATTTTTGCAGCAGGGCTTGCTCTCACTTTTACTCTCCCAGTCAGCGTTATAACTGCGACTACAAACCAGGCATTACGACTTTCAACTCCAAAACCCCTTTTCCAATTTTGTCTTTTAACTTTCTGTAGAATTGTTTTAAAAGTACTGGGATTTTGATTTGAGTTATGAAATATTAGGATAATTCATTAAACTATTTTATTAATTATGTCTCTTCTTCATTGGTTTTAGACGCCAGGACTAAACATCATCACAGAATACATAATGGGGGTCATATTGCCAGGAAAACCAATAGCTAATGTGTGCTTCAAGACGTACGGATATATAAGCATGGCTCAAGCTGTTTCCTTTCTCAACGATTTCAAGCTCGGCCATTACATGAAGATCCCTCCTATTTCCATGTTTGTTGTGCAGGTATGTATTCTTGATAGCCCGGCTAGTTAATTGTCTTATTTAAGCTTATGTATAGGGATTATAATTTGAATTTTTTTGTGTGAATTATTTATTGGGTTTTCGTCACTTTTCCACCTAAAGTTTTTGGACTTTGGCAACGTAATCTTTAAATTTTTAATTTTGGCTATTTATCTCTCTAACTTATTAAATTGTTGCAACGTGGCCGATTTTTATCAATTTGCTGTGAACTTTGGTTGGATTTTGAGAGATGGAGAATTATGGGATTGAGATATTTGTGTCAGGGTTTAAATTGGGCTTTTAAAAATTTTGGTTGGGCATGCCTTTGTTTTTTTTTTTTTTTGGTTGGGCATGCTTTTTCATCCCTAACTTAACACAATTATCAAGGTCACAATGCAACAATTTTATAAATTGGGATATAAATTATCAAAATTAAAACTTTAAGGGATAAGTTGTCAAAGCTTGAAAAGTGTACGAGGCAAATATACAAAGTAACTTTGCTTGTTTCGTCTAATGTATGCACTGATGTCATGGTACACAAAAGTTTTTTTTTTTTTTTTTTTTTTTTTTTTTAATAACAATGGTACACAAAAGTTGACATTTACTATCATAAATTTCCATATGCAAAACAAACATTTGATTTGCATGTAATTTGCCAAGTAATAATTTTATATCCCTTGTCTACACAGTGCGTTGGAACCATCATAGCCGGAACAGTCAATATTGGAGTGGCGTGGTGGCTGCTTCACACGGTTGAAAACATATGCCAGGACCAACTCCTTCCACCCAACAGCCCCTGGACATGTCCCGGAGACCGTGTCTTCTTCGATGCGTCGGTGATTTGGGGTCTCGTGGGACCGAAAAGAATCTTTGGCTCCGAAGGAAACTACTCCCAGCTCAACTGGTTCTTCCTCATAGGGGTTATGGGGCCTTTGTTAGTGTGGTTGCTACACAAGGCCTTCCCATCCCAGAAATGGATCAAATTCGTCAATCTCCCTGTTCTATTCGGAGCAACAGCAGTGATGCCGCCTGCCACGACCGTGAACTTCAACTGCTGGATAATCGTGGGGACGGTGTTCAACTTCTTTGTGTTTCGGTACAGAAAGCAATGGTGGCAGAAGTACAACTATGTGCTCTCGGCGGCTTTGGATGCAGGGTTGGCCTTCATGGGGGTGGTTCTCTACTTCACTCTGACAATGGAGGATAGGAGTTTGTCATGGTGGGGTGCGGATGGTGAGCACTGTGAATTGGCTACTTGTCCTACGGCCAAAGGCATCGTCGTTGATGGATGTCCTGTGTTTTGATTCATCCATGTTTTCGGTTGTGTACTTGTGTATGCCTATATCTGATATTAGAAGGGCGTAATTTGTAGATATGCTATATTTTTAGTTTCACATCAAACCTTTTTAGAGCATTCCAGCTTGTCTTTTGTTTTGATTGAATATCAAATCATAGCTTTGGTTATCTCTGTCTCATTCTTATACTTTTTCTTCTCTATATTTAATTCTCCATACAATTTGAATTACACGCTTTGTTTTATTACTGGGATTTCTATACTTTGTTAAAGTGGCCGTGAACGTTAACAAGTACGTAATCGTACATTTATTATTCAATTAAAGTACATGGAAAAACAAAAATAAATGGTGGATCTTTAATTTTATTCTCAAAGCAAAACATTACAGAGAAACTCATTAGCTCCAAATTGAGAAAGCTCTAAAAAGTTGATCATCCACCGAAAGACTATACGTGCGTTTAGAATTCATTCTAAAATAATTTTATTTTTTGTATGAAAATAAAAAATGAAAACGTTTTTAATCTTAGACAGAAATCATTTTTAAAAATAGATCTGATAGTTTTATTAATAGATTATTTTTATTATAAAAAAATCCATTAATGTGTCTCTCTCCCTCTACTCGAAAAAGGAAAAAACGGAAACAAAAAATGAAAAACGAATCAAAGTTGTTTTTCATTTCTCTCATATTTAATACTAAACTAAAAAATCATTTTCATTTTCCTTTTTGTCTTTAATTGTGTCAAACGTCATTTTTCTTCCGTTTTCTTTTTTTTGAAAAACGTGAAAAACAAAAATAAAAATAACTCCAAATACTGCCTATATTTCTTAGCATCTTGCAAATGATAGCAAACCAAGAAGTAAAAAGGCAGCTAATTTTAGGGAAAAAAAACAATAATGCTAAAGACACCAATTTAAATTTTAATTTTTATATACTAATTAATGTGGTATATGAGTTATTATTTTTATATTAATGGATATTTAAAATATTATCACATTAATTAATGATAAGATATTATATTTACTAATAAAAAATGATAACTCACATATCATTTCAGTTGATACACAAAAATTAAGAAAAATACTTTCCGTAGAGACTCGTGAGAATCAGGATCCACCTGTCCAAATAAACAGGACCCCACTAAAAAAATTTAAAAAAAAAGAGAAAATAATAGAAAAGACTCTTCCAAGATTGTCCACCCCATTCCCTTCCCTCTTCCATTATGTTTTTGTTCTACAGATCTATTACGAGAAAAAAAAGAAAAAAAAAAAGAAAAATCAGTTGTTAAAACTATTGGATCTCGATATCAATCTGCATTCTCTTCAACTTTTCGTTTTTTCATTACAATTATTGGGTTCCATTAGCCATAGAATAAGATAATTGCTCCCTCTAGAAGAAGCTTGTTCTCTATTGTTCCAACGCTCGCAATAACGAGTGGCAAAGCGCCATCATTGTTAAAATCAGTTGTTTTAATTTCTGCATCATAGATCTGGATCTTCAACGGTTTTCGACGAAGAGGCTGATATCACTAAGGCCAGCATCGACGACTATGAGAAAATACGGAACAGAGAGATGGAGATCAGAAAAAGGGAAGGAGAGTGAGAGAAATGAAGAAAGAGATATGTGATTTATTTATTTTTTTTCCATACTGGCACAAATGAAAGAGTTAAGATTTAAATTGGTCTTTTTAAGTTTATTAAAAATATATATTAATTATTTAGTAGAGTATGCCTAATACGATTATTAAATAGGTCGTGTTTGTCGCATTTTTATACAAAACTCATTAAGGACACAGCACGTTAAAATCCCGTACGGACACGATAAACGGCGTGTCATGATCTATCTCTATAGAATTAGAATTGCATATTCTGTTGAACTAGTGGGATTTCTCAAGTTTGTTGCATTCATTGAAGATCGCACTTTGGTTATGTGAAAAGTTATATGTCACGTTATGAAGCAGAGAGCATTTATGGTTTAGTTATCTCATTATAGTACTTCTCCACTGTAATAATAATGTCATACACAAACTGGGAATTGCAATTTGTGGACCATATGTTTATATCCTTCATAAACTTGGAATAAGGTAAGTTAATATTCTCTCTGCCATCAATTCGTTTGTCTAGAGCTAACAATAATATGTTATGTGCTCAAATGCCTAGGACCCTAAGGAGTCACTCAACAACTCATGTGAATCTTCCTTTTTTCTCCCCCTTGCAACCGTATATTTATCCTGAATTTATGTGGATCCATATTGATCCCCATGTGAAGGCTAAAACAAATAAACATTTGAAATGAACACATGCGTCACCCACGTGTCCTAAAAATGTTGTCATTCCAAAGATAGACATTGATTGAGACAAATCCCGTGGAAGAGAGAGAGCGAGAAAGCATTATTGTTTTTTTTTTTTTTTTTTTTTCCGAATTTAAGATGGGTATTTAAACTTTACACCTTAAAGTAGAATCACGAGTGTATTTACAATTAAGCTATACCTGCAACCACGAGAATTTTATAGTTCTATTTTGTGATACTTAGAATTTCTCACATACTAGTTGGTCAATATATTTTATGATATTTTAACATCATGCATATGATATATGAACATTTATAGGTTGTTTGGTTACTAGATTTATGTCATGATTCGAATTATGATTCGTGATTCGTTACAGTATTTTCTCTCACAAAAAATACACGTAAATCGAGAATGATTCTGAATCTATGAATTAAACGTCTAATTAGTTATTTTATATGCATTCATGTATTATAATGGTGTACATTGTAAATTGAAGTAAATAATATATTTAGTGTGTTCATTATACAGACAAGTGACTCGGGGTTACTAAAGAGAAGAATCCGGTAAGTTGGGTAGTGGACAAAAACTTGCTCTTTAATGATTTACAATAATTTCTAAGAAAAAAAGTAAAATGTGGAGTCCTAATAAAGTTTTTAAAATTAGACTAAGTGGTTGTTACATATTCATACAATAATGGGCTGTTGCGACTCATACAAGCGTAACCGGTTTGTTCCAATTTATTGGCGCATAAGGAAAAAACGGAGGAGAATATGTGTTCCTTGTTACTCAAGAAAGAGATGATGGAAAATAAAATCAGGGACTCATCTCTGGGAATATTTAATTTATGCACTACCTTGTAACCAAGACCAAAATAACAAGTAACAACTTGTTTTTTCCCTCCTCTAACAAGAATCACAAGTAATAACCTGAACAATACTTAAAGCTCATAGAGTAGTCCTTGGTTTAGTTTGGTATAACTTTTTCCTCTCAAATTTAATTTTTACTTGTAGCTGAAGTTGATTTTAATGTTTAGTAAATTTCTTTAAAAGTGCTTTTTGAAGAATTTTTTAAGAATCTACAGCCAAAATCAGAAACAGCCTAAAGACAACTTTAGCTTTTAGATTGTGCGAGAATCAACATAGTATAATTAATAAAACTTTCATAATACCCATAATACTCCTAATGAAATTTAAAATTTACAATCTTCCCAATCTAAAATTAAGACTCGTAATATAATATAATATAATATAATAGTAATATTGTAACAAATAATATCATGATTATATTAATAACTATAATATTATTATTTTATCATATGATATGATATTATAATAATATTATAATTATTTTGATAATATGATATTATAATTATAATATGATATTATAATTATTATTTTATAATATATTATATATTATATTGTATTGATATAATTATATTTATTATATTAATAATTAATATATTATAATATATTATAATATAATATAGTTGTAATTTTTAATTATATTATATCTAAAATATTAATATTTCTTATGTAATATTATAATATGTTTTATAATATTGACATTATATTAACCATTTTAATAATATTATTATATTCTATATCATAGTTATATAATATGTTATTTAATAATAGTTTTATTGTATTATATTAAATATAATAATAAATATACATTATATTATAATTATGTATATTATATTATAGTATAATATAATATAATCGTTATTTTTATTATTATATTCTATATCATAAATATATAATATATTATATAATAATAGTTTTTTTTATTATATTAAATATAATAATAACTATATTGTAATTATATATATTATATTATAGTATAATATAATATAGTCGTAATTTTTAATTATCCACAGTAATTCAACATCATAATTTACCAAATGCTATTACATTGATTTTGAAATCAGCACAGCTACTATGATTATAGTTTATCAAACACTCAGCTGCTTTTTGTAACAATTACTTCTTCCTTCAACACAGCTAAAAGTAATTTTTTCAAAATCTACAGCACTTCCAAACTAAGCCCTTATTCACCATCACCATGGCTGACACATGAAGTTGGCACAATAAAATTCACCATAAATTAAGTCAGAAAAATCACTTACCTTAGTAATAATCATCAATATTTTCTATATTCCATTGATCTCTTGTTCAGGCCACAAAATTAGGCACAAAAATGGCGGACACTGGCAAAGCAATCATAACACAGAAATGCCTGTAATAATAATATGTATATACGTTTGTATGTTCCTTTATAAACTTCATTGTATGTTCCTTTATAAACTTAACCAAATAATGGGAGCACCAAATCCCTCCAAAAATACTTTATACTTTATAGAAACTAACATTAAAAGAACATATACAGTATTATAATCATCAAAAAGCGCCATATACAATATATATAGGGAACCAGCTAGGTAGTGATGTAAAAACACTGAGTATAATAAGCTACTCATCTTGAAGAGGTTTTGACAATGGGGCAACAAATCTAGCAGAGAAGCCACGGTGAGAGAGGTCCCGGTCATCCGCATCGCAGCCGTCATCAAAGTTCTGGGCGTAGCTCAAAGGGTCGTATCGAAAACCGGCCCCGGTGCCGGATTTACTTCTGACATGCCCTCTTGAAATAGTGGTGTAACGTCTAGTGATTCTTGATCTTTTCCATGGAAGCTTCAGCTTTAGACATCCCCAGCATGAAAACAATCCTTCATGCTCTGTGCTTTTGGGAGATGGGATTCCTTCCATTTCTCTCTCTCTCTCTCTCTCTCTCTCTCTCTCTCTCTTATGGAAATATTAATTGGTTTTGATTGGGTTAACACAATGACCAAGTATGTGATGATGTTAATGTTATTGTTCTCTGTTCGAAAGAAATTGTGGGCCATTTTTGTCTTTCTCTCTCTCTTTTGGTAGAGGATTTTGAGTGTATGGTAGAGAGGAAGGTGCAGGAACTAAGTGGAATAAGGTCCTTTTGTTTTTTTAAGGAAGAAAATGTTAAAGAAGAGATGGATCAGTTTGTGGGGGTTGAGAGAGTTGTACTCGTCGACTTTTTTGGTTTCATCCATCAAGCTTATTAGTTATTACAATATATATATATATATATATATATATATATATATATTTCATTTTATGGTACAAATATGTTCTTGTGTTTTCTCTTTAAATAGGCAGGGCTTCATCCATATCTAAGGCCTTATTCTTTTCACACTCAAGTCATAACTCAAATTATATTGTTAAAGTACTTTTTTTCACAAAAATTTAAATTCAAACTTTTTATAGTGTTTTTTTTATATATACACAACTCAAATTCTTAACTTAAATAGTAAAACAAACATACCCTAAACAAATATTGTGTTTTTAGTCTCGAATCGTCCCACTAAAATAGCTAGGTATATGTGGTATTAATTGTCAAACATATTAAACGTTTGGGGTGTTATATAAGGTGTATTACGTAAAAAAAAAAAAAAAAATTAGAGTGCAACGGTACAATTTATTCAATATGATAATAAGAGGGAAACTTATTTTTAGTTAAATAGAGAGAAGTATACAAATTATATTTATGTCTTTTTTTTTTCTTTGTACATCCTACAACAAAGTTATAGTTTTTTTTTTTTTTTTTTTTTTAATGTTGACATTGATTAACAAGCTTGTACAAGGGACGGACGGCTTCATAATTGTTGACTAGTAGACATAAGAGCTGTGGACCATGTATGTATTGAGCAAATATTCGAAGGATAATATTAAGAGGAAAAAAATTGAGTTGGTTTCGATTACATAGCAATATAAAGCGGCGGCTCCTCTCAATACACACTTTGGTCTAATGCTTGAGCTTATGTTTAGTAGGATGTATGGTATTATATTGTATAAGATGTATTATATTATGTTGTATTGTACTTAATTATTATAATACAATATAATGTTTAGTGTCATGCGAATTATATAAGGGATTAAAATGTAAAATTTTAATAATTTTAGGATTAAAATGAAATTTACACAAATTTTGAGGTCACAATGTAATTTTTAAAAAAATTTGAGATCAAAATGTAATTTTGTAAAATTTTTGGGGTCCAAATATAATTTTTTTAAAAGATAAATTTGGATTGTGCCCCTCAAATTTTTAACAATTATAGGCTCTGGCATTACTTTATGTTGGACCGACCTTGACCCTTAATCGTACCGCACCCCAACATAAATCATTAATCCACTATACAATAATATAATATAATACGCTAAAAATGAGTTGTATTAAATAATACGACATAAGCTCTGTTAATTTACTATTTGTATTAATTTATATAATACGACGATCACACTAAACATTATATTATTGTAGGTATTCTAATACGGTCAAACAAACATATCCTGCGCATGAGTGGATTAAACTCACAAGAGTACTCGCTATTTACATTTACATATGATATATTTTTTTGGTTTAACATGAAAACATTATCGAATTAAGATATTGTAAGAAAGCTATACAATATTCGATGAACCATGGTATTTTAAGCGACAGATGGTCAGTTTTTTTTTTTTTTTTTTTTTTTTTTTTTTTTTTTTTTCCTTTCCTAACAACGATCATGGTCGGTTTTACATTACGTGAAGCTAACCAATCAAAAAATCAACCTGTATGAAAGAAGAGAGGAAAAACACAAAGAAAGAGAAATACCATTCTATAGAAAAAATCATAAAGGTATATACAAAAGAAGTGCAACATAAATTGCAAGCTAAAAGAATGAGGAATAAAAAGTTTCTCTACCTTTAGTAATCTAATGGAAAGAAAATAAATGATGCGTTTAGAATTAATCTCATTTTTGCTTTTTATATTTTTTGAGAAAAAAAAAATAAAAATATTTTTAAAACGACGTTTGGCGCAATAAAAATTAAAAAAAATAATAATTTGTTTAATTTAGTGTAAAATGAGAAAGAAATGAAAAATAATTTTTAGTCATTTTTTATTTTTTGTTTCATTTTCTCCTCTATCGAGTAGAGAGAGAAAAAAAAGACATTAATAAATTTTTTTACACTGAAAATAATCTCTTAATAAAACTATCTAACATATTTTTAAAAATTATTTCTGTCAGAGATTGAAAACGTTTTCATTTTCATTTTCATACAAAAAAAAGAACGAATTCCAAACGGGCAAAAAGTATCTCGTAAAATCATAGATTTCAAGACCCGTTTAGTGCACGCGTTTAAATAAGTGATTTTAATATATTGACAGAACTTTATGAGAGAATCATTAAAGGAAAATTTTTAAATTTAAATTCTTTAAGAGAGAAAAACACTAATAGAATCAGAATTATGAGTTTAAATATATTTATCAAACATACCCTAAGTTTACATGAACTGACAAAATTGATTTTGGATTTCGCTTCTAATGAGAAAGAAGTGAGCAAACAATAACACTGTAGAATCTTTGTTTGGGTGGGGAGAAAGAGATCGGATTAGAAAATCCAAGTGCATAATTGTCTTCCCAAACTATCAGTCACAATCAAAGGTAAAACTGTAGTTACACTACATCCTTACCGCCACCTGATCCGCGGAACTTTTCTTCACAACCCCTCTAGCACATAGCTCACTCAACAACTCCAAAGCCTCCTTAGCCAAGCCTTCATATGCTAAGCCTTCAATGAGAATGGTGTATGTAGCTTCAGTGGGTTTACATCCTTTGGACACCATATGAGCCAGAAAGTCGATTGCGCGACTGGTTTGCCTAGCCTTACAAAGTCCCAACATGATCGAGTTGAAGGTGATGGCATTGGGCTTGATACCGAATCCTTCTAAATCATGGAAAAACTTGATCGCTTCATCAACCTTTCCTTCCCTACTAAGCCCTCCAACAAGCGAAGAGTACGTGATGATGTCAGGCTTGAGACCCTTTCTCTGCATTTCATACAAGAGTTTGATGGCGCGTTCTGTTTCCCCCGCCTTCGAAAGCCCGTCAATCACGGTATTGTAGGTGATCAAAACCGGAGAGCAGCCCTTGCTACTTAGCTGATTGAGGATCACCACAGCAATATCAACCTTCCCATCTTTGCATAATGCTGTTAGCAAAGTGTTGTAGGTCACAATATCGGGGTAACAGCCCCTAGATACCATTACATCCAAGTACTCAATTGCCCTAGCCATCTTCTTCTCTTTGCAAAACCCATGAAGCAAAGGGTTGTAGCTCAAGGAATTAGGAGTACAACCATGCTTCGGCATCTTCTCCAGAATGTCAATCGCCCGACCAAGCAAACCTTTCCGGCACAAGAAGTTGATCAATATGTTGAAAGTAACAACACTAGGAGAACATCCTTTTCGAACCATTTCAGCTAATAGCTTTTCGGCATCCATCCACCTGCCGGTGCTACACATGCTACGCAAAATGATGTTATGAGTAATCACATTAGAATGGCAACCGTATGATGGCATGTTGTTCAAGAACTTGATTGCTTCATCCAATCTCCCCTCCTTGCAAATCCCATTAATGAGAACATTATAAGTTACCACGTCCGGTTTGCATCCTTTACTCCTCATCTCGTCTAAGAGCTTCATCGCCTGCCCAACTCCACTTTCTTTACAAGTTGCTTCAATCAATATGGTGTATGTAATCACATCTGGATAACACTCCCTCCTTAGCTGCCTATCAAGAACTTCCATTGCTTCCTTCAATTTCCCGCTATCACACAGAGTTCGCAAAATCGTATTATACGTGACAACATCAGGAGCAACGCTCATTCGGTCCAAAACCTGCAAAGCATTGTCAATCTCCCCTGACTTGCAGTAGCCGCTGATCAAAACGTTGTAAGTTATAACATCAGGAGCAGCCCCTGACTCCTCTAAAATCTCCATCACCCGACTCGCCTTTTTAGTCTTTCCAATCTTACAAAAACCCCGAATTAAACTCGTGCAAGCGATAATGTCCGGTATATCACCGTGATAAACCATCCTCTCAAGAACCTTAAACCCTTCCTCCAATTCCCCGTTTCTAACAAACCGGCGGAGCCTCTTGTTACCCTCAAATTCCTCAAAATTCCGAGTGGAATGCCCAGAATTTGCCAATGAGTTGGTGCCATTCAAGTGGTCAAATGGGTTTTTCTCAAAGTTCTCTTGCAATCTGCCATTGGAGCTCAAAGCTTCAATCTTTGAAACCGCAAGGACATGTTTTCGCCTATGTTTCGAAGAACCCTCATTAATCCTACACTGAATGTTATGAGACATAACAAGTAAACGGGCTTTGCAGCCAACTGCGACTCCCACAAGGCTACCTCCAAAAGTACTAGTATTTCTCGTACTCTCCAAACTAGTTTTGTGAAATGAGCAAAACCCATCAGGGGTTTGCCTTATAGGAACTACTGAATCCATTATCTCCCGACTTAGTCTAAAAATACCATTACCCAATAACCCAAAAATCTCGAAAACCTCTGATTGCAGAGCTGTTCTGCAATAGGGTTCAGAAATGGGTTGGTTTGGAACAGTAAGAAAGCTATTATGACCTAAAAACAAGATATGTAAGGAGAGATAGAGAAAGCTTAACCTGAGAGTGTTTTTGCTTTTCTCTTACGACGAGAAGTGGCTATCTATCGGCGGTTTTTGCTTATCCGCGCGCTCTCTCTCTCTCTCTTCTTTCTTGCGTTGGCGGTTCAGGTGGAGAACTAGTGGTACTAGGTTGTTGGGGAGGCCTGTCGAGGATAATGTTATGGGCCAAATTAAAGTAGTACAAGCCCAAATACGGCCCATTGATTCAAAACTGGATTTCAGCCCTTTCATATATCCTTGTGCTTTGGGGAAAAAAAAAAAAGAATATTTATACGAAATGATCATTTTTACCCTCTATAAACATAATATGACTTTAATTCAATAATATTATTAATTTATTCGTTTTATAGTTATTGATATAGTATAATTCTGAATACATTCTTTAATTTAGGTGGTTGTGAATTTATATAACAGATTTTAAAAAACAGTTAATTAAAGATATAAATATCATTACGAGTTATTTTACAGACTTATATACAAATATAATAATTTGTGGACATTCTTTTTTTCATCCATTGTAAAATAGATGTATACGTAATTAATTCTCGTAAAAATTCACACTAAATAGAAAATTTATGAGACTGAACTTGAGATATAGCTTTTTTTTTTTTTTTTTTTTCTAATATTGTCTCACCCCCTTCTTAAATTTTACATTCATTACTATTATGTCATAGGGGTGTTCACGGAAGTCATTGTCTGATCAATACACCTACCCCAAACTGATTTTTACAGGGTTGGGTTAAGTTGGGAAGACTTTAATAATTACAAGTTGAGAAATCCATTCAAAAGATTTTGGATTGTTTTGCAAATTAAATATTTCTTCGTGAAATCTACTAAATCCGTCGTATGTACAAACATATAAATATGTATGTACAGTTCATTTCCTGATGTTATATATATTAGTAGGAAATGTCTTCCGTTCGGCAGACACTATTTGCCTGATTGATTCAGTAGAAGACATTATATAAGATTTATATTAAATTATATAATTATCGTATGTAAATATACAAGATATATGATGAATTGTACAACTTGTCATACAACTTATATATCTTTACAATTGTACAACTTCTATATGCTAAATTGTATAAGGCATATACTAAATTGTACAATGTGTAAATATACAAAATTTATACTTAATTGTACATCTTTACATGTAAATATACACAATTTATACTGAATTATACAACTATCATTTCAATCCGGCAAATGGTAAGTGCCAACTTCACCTATATTTCATATATAACTACTTTAAAATAGTGTTGATTAATCATGAAGACTTTCACTTTGAAGTGATCTTATTTGATTGGGTTGTTATAATAAGATTTCATAAAACTATTTTACGTTACAGTAAGCTTATTTTAATTTAAAATCTATAATGAAGTTATGAGATTAGAACAAAAATGGACTTAAAGTACTTAAAAAAAAAACTTAAAGTGTCTTAAAATTAGACGTCTAAATTTCAGGCTTAGTCCACAGAATCCGAAAAATTCGGTACTTTTGGGTTGGGGGTTTGTTTAGATTGACAACGAAATGCAAAATCCTAGTCCAAAAGCTTTAAGTTAGTTTGTAAATTAACCCCTATATGCAAAAACCCCATAAAACGTCTATTATAGAGGACCATAATCTAAAAATGTCTACTATTATATAATATTATAAAAATATCCACTTGTGTTTATTAAGGAATATATTATACCCTATTTGCCCTTATGAATTATTTTGGGTATGTTTATATGGTGAATTTTTCTATTTTGTGTGTTTCTCTTTCTGATAATATTAAGATATTTTTTAATTATATTAATATTTTGACTTTCCTCTTTAGTCCCATTTAATATTTTGTAATCAATTCGTTAATTTATTCTAGATATGGTATTTTAAATTAGTAGTTTCCTCTCCTTTTTTTCTTTTTCTTTTTCAAATAAAACTCTCACGTTGCTGAGATTGTATCTACCTCAAATTTTTGCTGCATTTTGTTTCGTCGAGAAGAGAGCATCTGCATCCCTTGCATTGAGAAGAGAGCTTCTATGTTTGAGTGATTTTGCTGTATGTTATCTTCAATATAAAAGGTTAGATATAACGTCAACGCCTTTTATTTTCTTTCTGGTTTTTGATATCATATTATTTTTGTTTTTAATTCACTTGTTTTTTATTCTTTTTTATATCAATTGTTTAAATCACTTGAAGGGGAAAAAAAACGCCTTTTATTTTGTTGACGTATTTGTCATTATTATGTTAACATATTTTCATTCGTTTGTTGTTGATAAATTACGGTTTTTTTAACATTTTTTTTTATTCGTTTAGATCTAATGAATTAATTAACCACGTATCTAATCTTCCATTTAAAAAAAAAAATCGTTGCAAACTTCTGTTTATTTTTGTTCATAATGATATTATCATTACAACAATAAAACAATTTTTTTTTATGAGTTCATGATATCTCGTGCACTTTTAGGCCCCATTCATAAAGAGTTTTTAAAAATAATCATATTTAATTTTTTTACTACAATAAAAAGCTTTTACATAAAGTCACGTATAAACTCAAATTAAAAACTCGAATCAGCGAACTAAACGGACTCTTACTGTTTGAGATTCATTCAAAAAAAAAATTTTGTTCAGTCAATTTGATAATAATAGTTATATTAAAATAATGAAAATACTTATTGTTGAGTATATATTTTCGTGTTTCCTATGTATTACAAGTTATATTCATTATGATATATTCACTAAGCTAATGAAACTGCGTATGCATCTGTACGTATTGTGTTTATCATTACAATGAAGAAGCAGCTTTCTTAATGAGTTCATATTTTGTACATTTTTATTGTTTGAAATTTATTCAAAATTTTTATATTCAGTCTGTTTAATAATGATAGCTATATTAAAATAATGAAAATGTTTATTGTTGATTATATATTTTCGTGTTTCTTATGTATTACAAGTTTTTTTTTTTCATAATGATATAATCATTAAGTTAATGAAAATGCATATTCATTTGTACAGGTTGTGTACTCCTTATTTTGGTTAGATGGAGACGTCATTTCTGTTGATGTTAAATTATATTTCTTCGCTCGATTTAGAGAAAAGTAACATGGATGCGGAAGATGAGGATGATGACGCACGAAAGTTCCCAAGGGACATGATAATATTAAGGAACAATATCATAATGAACGGTACATTATAGTAATGAAATGTGAAATTATTACGAAATTAAATTAATGAACGTTACATTATAATTCATAACTCAGATATTCCTACAAACAATGAACAACAATATGTAATAATGAAATTCAAAATTTTTATTCAAATGTTGATTTCTATAAATTTTACCGTTTCTTTAATTCTGATTGTTCCTCTTTTAAATAATGAACAATACACTATACTAATGAAATTTATAATTATTACGTAATTATAATAATGAAGGAATGAACAATACAGTTTAATTCATAACTCAGATATTCCTACGAATAATGAATAGCAGTATGTAAATAATAAAATTCTAAATTTTTGTTCAAAAGTGGAAATCTTTAAATTGTACTTTTGCTTTGAATATTTCACTACAAAAATATCAGCATTAGTAGCTGATAAAAAACGCTATTAGTCATTAGCAATAGCGTTTTGTGAAGCGTTAGGACATCGGACGCTATTAAAAGTCCGTTCTAAGAAAACATAACGTTCTAAGAGAGTTATTGAAAGCGCTATAGAATTTTAAGACAAGTTATTTTCAACCTCTTACAACTATTTAGCATGGCTACGATACAGATTAATAGCTTTTTTTCCTTGTCATGTTCATACTCTTGTAGCTTTTTAAAATTATTATTGCTATTCTTTTGAATTCATTCAAATAGATGGTAATTCTGAGCACCATCTTATATCTAAATAGGAACATTCAAATTAAAACATAAAAACATTTAACATATCAATTGTTATCAGTATCTACCAAGTTGGCAATAAAATTACATCTACAACATAATTCATACAATGTTCAAAACCTTAACATTCAAAACAAGTAAAGAAAACAGAGGAATAGCTGGAGATATCAAAGTATCCAAAACGTCTAACTAAGTGAAATTGTGAAGTAAATCCTTCCATCTTGACAAAATGCTTCAACAAAAAAGTCATTTCCACCGTTTAACCTGTAAGAAAGTGATCCACTATCAAAACAATAATCAAACTCAACTAAAACTTCCACCATTTAACCTATAAATAAAGCAAGCACTAGTTACATTATTCACAATTACGTAGCCACATCCACATATGTTTTGTAGTGAGTTAGAGAAAACATGGCTCAATGATGCACTAGACAAAAATTTAATGTCAAACTTGTAAGACAGAGAGTATCTTACATGTATTGGTATGTAGATAGTTGGAGAAAGCATGAGTCTTCATTGCCTACATTTAAACCCGAAGAGTATAAAAAATTACTATCACAATCATAAAATGTTTTAGTTTAAACAAATTTACAGCTAGTAGAGATTTTTCATACCCCTTTAAAATTTTATCAGCAGGTCATGCCACATTACTTGAAATTGCTTCTTCAATGGTACTCATCTCACTCGTTGGCCTCCACAAGAAAGCGTCTGGTTGTTTTGCTCGAACTACTTGCATTCTACAAGGAGAAATCTTAGGTTCACAACATTGAAAGAACATTCTTCAAGATTTTGTAAAATAAGAAGGATAATTATGAATGTACCATGTCTTCAATCAAGTGAGCATATCCTTTACGACTGGTTATATGTGGAAGTAGTTTCTTCAACATGTTTTGTTACTTTTGACTCCTTTCCTGGTAAAAAAAAAAATTAAAGAAAGCACCATATGCATAAATATGGACTACATATTAGAATTATCAATGAGAGAAAATAATAGGTTTTTAAGTTAATTATACCTGAAAAGCTGCACTTGTTTTCTCCCTTACAAAAGCTTTCCACTCTGCAACTGATTTGATGTTATCAGGCTTCAATTTTAGTCTTTCTTCTTCGGTTTTGGCTTTCTTAACTTGGTAAAATAATCTTGATTTTGAGGCCCTCCAAATTGCACCCATGTTTCTGAAAATTTAATGCTTC